GGCTTGTGGAAGGAGCAGCCTCTACAAGGTTTTCCTCTCTTTCTGGAGTAGAAAATGGCATTAACTTCCCCTGAGCAAAACTCTGCTGTAGTAAAAATTCATTAACATAAAACAAAAGTTACTTACTTAGCAATTACATGCAGGTAACTAAATTAATTTTTAATCTCAAAGACAAGGAGTGTGTTTCACGGCCAGAGTGGCTCTACGTCCTTACTGCCCCAGCCGGAGTAGCTCTCTGTCATGCTGCAAAGGGATTGCCTGAAGAGTTCAAGAAACTCCTCAGTGGTCAGCTGAATTTTGGCCCATCCGATGTTTGCAATGAGAATGTCGGGTGTCGTGATAAGCTGGCCTGACGTGCAGCAATGCGGAGTAGCCAGCACAGTGCACCGATAACAGCTGAGAGTTGGGTAAATGACCAAGAAAGGAAGGGTTGCAGATCTAGTAAATATCACTTTGTTCCTGTTTTTTCACAGTTCTTCGGTTAAATAAGTTAGTAGCATGGACAAAATCTTGAGTGTTCCTTTATGTCAACCTGTTTTGAATTAAAGTGTGTCGTAAAAGCTGTGAAAATTCTCAAGTTTTCCCAGTAAAGTACCTTCTCGTTGATCTTATTGTATAACCCACTGTTTTAATTTTTAAGTTATGAATTTGATCTCCCTTTGTTTAAAGGTAGCTTTCACATTCGGGAATAAGTTAAAAAGTCTTAGAAAGCTATGTACACTGCGGAACTATAACTTCCCGTTCCAGGTTTTAATGTGTACTTTAAGCTATATGCTTGGTACTTTTGACAAACAATGCTTTCATAAGTATATTTCAGTGTTGAAGGTTTTCTGCCACATCTTCCTTTATGTCCCCATTTCCCACTCTGCTTTGCCTGTTGTCATGATGTGTAGCTTACGTTTTGTATTTCGTTGATGCAAACAAATATAGTAATGCTTTTTGTCTTGCTGTCTATTTTAGATGTGAGGTGTATGGAAGCATTGCTTTCTACAATGAAGAATTCTTGGGCACTTCTCTTAAAAGAGATTTAAAGCCTTTTCATTCTTAGCTGAAGTATTACCATATTTCAGTAAACATTATTATAATTAAGTGACATTATTTCCTTTCTCTTCCTGTCTGATCAGAAAAGTCAGATGTCCAAACTGAAGGCATTGGCAGGCTCTTTCTCACGTTCCTATCTGCATATGAATTCAGTTCCACCCTCTGTTTTTTATAGAACTCTATACCTTTCAGTATGTTTTAGCCTTATAAAGCAGTGGAGGACTTTGGGATTGTTTTAAACAGGTCATTCATCATCCAGACAGATATTCCAAATAGTCATGCTATACAGACCATTGAATTTGTCTTTTTGCTTCAAGCCATCAACATAGTTTCAGGCTCATGAGAAAAATGATTGGAGACTTTTTGTTTTCCCAGTAGAATGGTGTATTAACTTGGGATTATTTTCCCGTACAGAATTGCGTCTGGAGTTTGCATCTGTAGTATTTTTAACTTGCAAAGCATGATTCCACCAGCAAAAGTAGAATACCTACTTTCTTTTTTCTCTCCCCTCCCCCCCCTCCCCCCCTTAGGAAAAAATGTGCCTCAGACACTGCTGACCTCAGACCTTGCAGAGACCTGCTTTACCAGGCAAGTGCCTCAGTTGGTCAGTTCTCAAAGTATATTGAACAAAATTATTATTTGCCTACTGAAATTGCCCTTTTCCCTATTTCAGCAAGACTCCTTGGGCTTTTTCCTTTCTCTTTTGCAAAGAGCATGCATGCACATAAGTATAGTCAGCACAGTCCTGAAAGCAAAGGTAGTTTATGGTGAAGAGATAACCGAATATGGTATAGCTGAGTTTGGCTATAATTTTGCTGTACCAGCTGAGCTGATTTGTGACTCCAAAGTTGCTGCTAACTCATAACAATGCTGTATTTAACAGACCGCATGAAATCCTAGCAAGATATTCCTAAGTCAGTTTTAATAACCTCGCAGAATGTATCTTGTCAATTTGTATGTTGCTATATTTGATTTTTTTTTTTATTTATTTATCTTAGAAATGTGCCCTTCGGGTGGTCTCCTCCTGATTTTTAAAACATATGGAAATACTTAATACTAGAGATTATTGTGTGTGCTTTATTCAAATAAGACTATGCTCATGATAATGAAAAACTAATTAATTCTGTTTCCTCAAAAACACTTTTTCTGAGTACACCATCTGTCATTTCCCTTATTTCTGTTTTATAATGTTATATATGTCTACACCACTGTTTCAAAGTCCAACCTTAGTACACTAAAGTACCTAGATAAAATGTATCAGCTGAGGATTTAGCTGATTTAGGATTTAGGCTAGTAAACTTATGCTAGAGCCTTCAATGCTGTTTATACATTCGCCGTTCATCATGCATGCTTAATGCCTGCTGTTGTTAATGCTTTCTGAATGCAGCCTAGGCATACCTTTGAGCTCTTCATGAAGGAGCGTAAAAATAACTGTAGGATGCAGTTTGCTGGGTCAAATCCATTCACAAAGTCCCATTTTCAACCACAGACCGTGGCCATGACCTGCTGCTGTGCTGAAGTAGGAAGTAATTGGATAACTTCTGATGGGAGAGGTCTCAAATTATTGCCCCACGTTTAAGAATTTGTCTTTATTTTGGGAATTTATGTCCCTTTTTCTCTCAAATGAAAGAAAAACACTAAATTTGTGCCATAGATATTTCAATATAAGCTAATATGCATGCAGGGGGGTGGGTTACAGAATAAATATGCTCCATTTTAGTATGCTTAAATTCTTAAAAGTTGATTTCTGTTGTCTAAAACAGTCAATCTTACTAGAAACCTGTTAATACAAATGAAACTTTTTTTTTTTTTGTTCCTTTTACCATGGAAGAAAATTTTGAGGAGTTAAAGCCTTTTTGGTCTTAAAAAAATGTGACTCATAGTATTTTACTAGTTGGAGAGGAATTAGCTTATCCTGGAAAACACACAGTCTCTACAAAGCGGCATTTTTAAGGAGAGGGGTAATGCTTCTGCTAATAAAAGACAACAGGCAAAAGGTATTACAGGTTCTGACTTGCACCCTGGCTTACCACGACTGTCTTCATTTTATAATTTTTTTCAAGCACTGAAGGTGGTTGCCAGTACTGCATTAAGAAGAAAATATCCAAAATGAAAACAAAGTAAAAAAAACCCCAAAAACTCAAACCCCGTTGTTCTCATCTGGTTCACGCCCAGCCCCTGAAAGGACACATTGTTATCCAACCTATCTTCCAGATGTTGAGCAAATGGTGCCATGCTCTCAAAGTCAATAAAATGTTGCTCTTGGTTACTACTTTGTAGCTCGCAGCAGTATTGCTTGTGGGTTATCTCATTGTTTACTTCTCAGACGGGAAGAGAGCATCATCTTTTTCTCTATGCTTGTATATTCCTTTGGTAGCAGGTCCTAAAAATCTCTGGGTTTGAGAGTATATTAGCATATGGTACTTCCCTGATAAACTTGGAAAAGTTCAAGTCCTTCAGAAAACTGGGGGGATATCCCGACTTTGGGTAGCTGGCAACAAGTGTTTAATATATCATGGCAAACACTGGGTTGTTCTTAATTTCTTTATCAATCGTGGCATGGGGTATTGTTCTAGCAGTGCTGTATGTCGAACATTGAAAGTGTTCATAAGACTTTTCAAATCTGAAAAATGAAGAAATAATACATCCACACTAGTGTATGTCTTCATGCCCTCACATTTCAATGGGATCTGTATGAGTTTCCAAGAATAAAAGACATTGTAATTGCAGTATTGCTCGTTATGGTTCTCCTTTTTTTGCATAAACCTGCATGCATTGTTCATACGTAACCATAGAGGGAGAAATGTAACTTTTAAGGCCTGCAGTTTCTTATTTGAAATGTAAGTAAATTAGTCTTGCTTTCTGTCAGTGATCACTTAGAAAAACTGAGAATAAACAAGGTGATTTTGTATTCAGATGGTTAGTCTGTGACGGTTTTTACAAACAAAACTGTGTGATTTTACAAACAATAAATTCCATTCCTTTCTATTTCCAAGCATTTTGTGGACAATTCAGTCTGAGGTTGTTCTGTAGTCATCAAGAATCCTAATGCAGTAAATCTGGTCCCAGTCTAAGTACTGTGCGCAAAGTCCAGCTGTAACTTACCTAGCCCAAGTGGAATGGAAGAGTAACTCCTTGTCTTTTTTCCCCTCACTGGGCAGTCGTGTTGTTTTACTTCAAGCAAGTGCCAGTAGTTTGAAGATGAGATTAAATAAAACTGGAAATTAAGTTTTGGGCTCTTTTGTTGTTGCTTTTAATGTAGGAAGAAGGCCCAACATTTTTGTCAGATTTTTAAACTTTGCAGCTGATACTTTCAACATTTTGAAATTGATTGTATAAATTCCAGTTTTGATGTGAGTATTGTTAGATGCGGTTTGGTTTTCATCCCCTAACTGGAACACAGGGTGGGGTTATGCTTTCATTTAAGAAAGCTATCCTTGTTAAATGGCTAAAAAGAGAAAAAACCCTAAGTTTAACCAAAAATCAATTCTCAAAATTTAACCTATTTTCAATTTCCTGAAGTCATTCTATTCGTTTGGTACTTTCTCAGAGAGCTAGTGTAGACAGGAATTAATTTCTTGTATAAAAGAACAAAGGCACAGCATTAAAAAAATTCAAACCTTCTTTGTAATTACAAAAAGAAACAAAAAGCATAAATCTACAGAGAAGGAACAGCTTTAAAATTAATGTCTGAGAAGCCTGTGGTGTGGAACGCTGATCTGAAAAGGATTCTAAGATGAAAAGGTTGAAGAAATACTATTATTTTTGCATAACCAGACAAATGTAATGGATCAACATAAAAAGGTTGAGTTTAATACAAACCACATTGAGTTGCTATTAAATGACATCAAATTATTACCAGTTGTTATTTTAGGAGAGATTAGATGTCTGTATAAAGTCTAGTTCTAGAAGTCTTCTCTGACATACACTTAGTCCCTGTCAATGCTGGTTGTCTCTGAAGACTGAAGGGTCTTCATTACATCGTTTAAGAACTAAGTCTCCTGTGATTGTACCAACTGAAAGAGCACCACTGCTAAACACAGGCACTGGGAGTCCTTAGCAGCTATTTTAGGACTGTTTAGTTAGTCTGATACACATTCAAACCACTGCAGATGTGTTCATTGGCTGTTGTGGTTGCACATGAAGAAACACAGACTGCAAGCTTGCAGTTCTAGGTATTTTGTTTGAAAATGTTCAAAACAGACTTGAGATCAGAAAATTCCTTCCTCCTTCAGTTAGACAATTTTCAAATAGTGTATTTTAGCAGTGTTCTCCTTGTAGCCATTGTTTTTTTTACGTGCTAACCCAGAGATAAGAGTAAGAGGAAATTGTTACTGTCTCTACTGGGCCTTGAATGACTATGCTGAGAAAGTATGTATTGATCTTTTGAAGTGAAACCCTTCTGTTGTAGTTCTTATTCTACACAGTACACATCAGCGCTCCTGTGCAATGGTCTGATTCAGAAAAAGTGCTCGAGGTAAGTGCATAGAGGGGAATATGCTCAGCACTTGTTTGCTGTCCAGAAGCAGCAAGTAAGTTAAAACATGAACAGCATGAGCCTTAAGCATTGGTAGCCTGTTTTCTCCAGCATTTAGTAATAGAAAGCAGCTGGGAGAGAGACTGAGGCAGAGATTCCACTCCCCCCTCTATACGTCTTGGCAGTATTGATACGTAAGTGAAGACAAAGTGTTTGAGGGAGGGGTATTTTATGTAGCCAGAAAGACTGTGCAGGAATTTCTTTTGGACACTAAGTTTGTGTGAAAATCGTTATTGGGAACGTCAGATGCGGTAAGTGAAGGGGTGAAGTAGGTACAAGTAACTGGCATGTGCGGGAAGAAAGAGAAGGTGAGGATCTGTGTATTTCTTATTCATATTCTGCTGCTAACCTTGGCGCCACAGTTTGGTATTTCAAGAAGAGTGCATGAGCAGAAATGAAGGCAAGCAGATGTAGTGAGTACTATTAATGGTAGGCAGGTAAGGAGTAAGAGTGTTGTTGCAAGCAACATGCAGAGAGGGAGAGGGAGCTCTAGAGTGGATGTCTTGAAGGCTGTTCAAGGAAACTGAGTTAACTTTGTGCGATACTGACAATTCATGTGTTGGTTTCAGAGTGCACCAAGCAAGCAGTGACACAGGAAGCCTTTCAGGTGTCAGTGTGAGAAACACTTGCCTTCCAAAGGTGCAGTTAAAGCACCTGTATGTCTGCCACAGTGTGTATTTCTGAAAAAAAGTGCACTACACTTCATGGGATGTCGTTTTTATTAGCATGTTGATCTATTCTAACAGAGCTGATACAGGACAATGGAGGAATAATCATATACCAGTTCCTTGCTATTTACTTCTGGTTTTGTACTGTCAACCAGAAATGACAGTGTGACACAGTAAAAATTAGTGGACTGATGATGGTACCCGAGGAGAGAAAATGTAGGAGCTGAAGATACAAGCACGCTGCCTGAGACACAGGTGTGGAAAATGAGCGTCCCAGAATGATGTATTGTAAGAGAGAGAAGCTGCTTCAGGATTGGATATGCAAAGAAATAAAGTATATGTGTTGGGAATGTTGAGCTGGGGATGCATCACAGCACACCTACCAGTCCAGATCCTCAGCACCAAGGAACTGCTGCTCAGAAAACTTCCACAACACCTTAGCCTCATGGCTTTAACTACAGCAATATAATTGTGTAACTAGCTACACAGAGAAACGCTGTAACTCCTTGTGTAGGCTCTTGTTTCTATGTAAGACCTTTCCACAAAGATCTGGTCTTTTTTTCCACTAGTATATATGAAACCTGTGTCAATATTGACCTACTTTAAACATGGCTCTTGATGAGTCACTGGTGTTCCAGCTTTGGGAAAAGTTACTCTTTGACATGGTTGCTTGTAGAAAGCTGTAATTAGCAAAAATTATAGTTATATTTACAGAAATAATAGTCTCAATTCAGGTTGGGACACTTAGGATAACTTAGTTTATTGTTTCACTTCATATATGCTTCATTATTTAATTTTGTTTTTCACAGTGGAAGCCCAAAAATACAACAACAATTAAAGGAATCTACCCTTCATTCTCCATGAGTTTTCTCTGCTCTTATGGTACTTAATTATACCACTCACCCTTTTTTACAATAATGTTAGAATATACCAGCTTCTCTTGCATTGCTGATACAGAGGGCAGCTCCCACAAATGTAAGGAAGCTTTGAAAAAAGCTCCAACAACTCGTACAAGAAAAGGTCTGGAGGATGAGAGTAGCTCTCTTATGGAAAAGATGACACTTTTATATTAGCAGCAGACTGGCATGTTGAAATCTTGCCAGGGTAGTCATTACAGGTATGCACTAAAATCCCAATGACTTGTATTCCGTTTCAGTTTTGCAATTAATTCAGGGCCAGGCAGTGTCTGCTGATGTTTGCTAGACAGCAAGGTTCAAACTAAAACATGACACAAGCTGTGAAGTAGAGAGAAACACTAATAAAGGCTTGCAAGCTTAAGGCACACACACTGGACTAGGAAGTAAAGTAAATGATACCGGTCTTACCTGACCTCATAAACTGATGCAGAGATTTTATGTCAGCTCTGTATGAAAAATACTTCAATTGTGTATGGGCACAGCTTCGGTATGACTTTTTTGGTCACTTGCCAGAGTTAGTTTCGCTCTCCTGGTTTAATGATTTTCACAGCTGTAGTTCACTTCCTTGTTGCAACAGGAGTGATTTAGCAGTGTGTTGGAAACTATTTTATTTTGCTTGTCTCCAGCTGTAGGTTAATGCTGTAGGGTAATAAATGTTAGCGTTGGCAAGTCATTCTGATTGTTGTGTATGTGAAATGAATACAAAACAAACAAGTCTAACTAGGGAAGCCTGATAATACTCTTTTTCTTTCAAGTTTTTCCAATGTTTCCAGCTAAAGGATGGTAATGCATAGGAAAGACAGATAAAATAAAGTGCATTGGGTGATTCCTGTGTATCCAAATGGGCATTTAACATGCTAAAAACAGCTAAACCCCCAATGTTCTTGTTTCTTTTTTCACATAAGTGGTGAAAATTAGGTTTCTAAAAATTACGTTGTCTCAGCCTAGCAGCAATGATGTGTTGTGTAATAGCTAAAATTCTGGATAATGCAGAGTCATTATACTTTTTATAAATGAACTGTCCTTAGAATATGTCTAATTCAGCAATTACCTATTCCTTGGCAAGTTATCTGGTCAAGATTGCCAGGTAAAGTATCTGACTGGTGTTTTAAAAAAAAATAATCTTTAGATCACAACACAGTCATTTAAGGCTTGTTTGCTACTGCACAAGACAAATGTTTTGCAGTCCTCTGCAGCAAGCTCAGTGTTTGGTAAAAATGCATCTGTTCACTCTTCTTTTACCATTTTTTCCCCCAGCAATGACTGATTTGTTGCTTCAGGAAGTTACTGTGTGTATGAATAGATGTGTATACATATTATTTGTAACTATGTTTAAAATGTACATGTGCACGTGTATGTTTTTTTATATATATATATATGTATGTATATGTATATATTTCTTTTTACATTTTAGAGCTGTGATGGCCAGTCACCAAGCAGAAGTTCAGAGTCTGAAGCTAGATAATGATTCAGTTATAGAAGGAATAAGTGACCAGGTACTGGTGGCAGTTGTGCTCAGTTTCACTTTCATTGCTGCTCTGGTATATACACTTTTAAGGTGAGAATATGTTGACAGGAATTAATCTACATACCTGCATTTGTAAAATTCTAGCTTTCTCAACAAATTTTTGCATTGGTATACAAAACAGCTGTGATTTTGCGACATTAAGGAAGTGATTGTTTGATCACTTACTCTGTTTAACTGACTGCTTAGCAGAGTTTCGTAATTTAATTCACAGTTAGAATGAAATGATGCATTTCTCAAAAGTGAAGTTTGACTCTTCCTTATCTTCAGATGACCAAACTGAATAATGTTCATCATTTCTTAAGACTGAAAATGGCTGAATTCACAGTTTATATGGCTGGTGTGTCATATTTGGTTACAAAGTACAGATTTGTCAATAATGACTCCACAATTAAGATTGTATATAATCCTCCAATGTATGTTGTAGTTGCAGTCTCCTTCCAAAAAAAAGAAAAACAAAAAAAAAACACCAAACCTGAATAAATTGACTGATTTGTTTATAAATGAATGTGCTCGAAAACAATGGACTTTAATATGCTTTCCATAAAGCAAAATGTTAAGTTCAGAATTCAGTAACTTTAATGGTCAAGTAATCAAAGCTTATTTTTCATTTCAGAGTTTTTCCTTGCAACCTAACAGATATCTTAACCTGTGTGTTTTGGGAAAATAAGTCTGAGCTTCAGATTGGCACTTTTTTTTTTTACAGCTGTCTGTAGACTTCTGAACACAGGAGTTTTAACAACTAAGAGAACTCAATTTTAGTGACACATTGTCATTATGGAATTTACTGAGGAGGATCTGTCCATACGAGAAGTATTAGCAGGATAGGAGGTATTTGAGAGCAAGCTGCAAAAGAAAGCAGAAGTGGGAAAGCTTGGTTGGACTGCAAGGCAGTGCTGCTGTTCAGGACCAGGAGATAGCAAAGGAATCTAAGAGAAACGTATGCACTTCACCTTGCTTTTCTTTCCAAGGCTGTTTCAGTTATTCAGATGGCTTCAAGAGTGCCTCTTTTCCCTCTGCTCTCTTATGCTTTTTCTACCCCTTATATTGACATTTTTAGCATTTGTGACTTGAATTTTACATGTTTAGTTTAAAAGTAAACATTTTATTTTTGAACTTTATAAAGGAATGTAAGTTAGGAACATGAAAAAAAGTGAGTGGAACAAGAGTCAGCAGTGGGCAAGAGTAGTGGGAGTTCACTCAGGATTGGAGTTCAGGGAGATGATACATCGATGATGAAGGGTTACTTGGGGAGGAAGAAAAGGGGTAGTTACTAACTACCTCTGCAGTGTAATGAGCTAAGTAAAAAGTTTGTCTGTGGATCCTGTTACATGCCCTGATGGTTTATTTTCTGGAGGGGCAAACAAACTCAGACACAAAACTTCCATACTTTGGAAGTCTTGAAGCTTGTTTACTTCTGTATTGTATGACTGACTACTGAAAGTCCTATCAGCATCCTCTTAGCTCTCCACTGTGCCTTCTGGTACCTTCTGAAATTGTCTGTATTCAGCAGCATTTTTCCTCTACCTCTTTCCTATTGTCTCCATCAAAATCAGCACAATACGGTAGAAAATCTGTACAGTACGAAAAGTATAGTAATCCTTATTTATTTAGCACTGGAAGGGGAGTGGGGGAGAAAAGGAGTATTTTCTTCTCTAGTTATCTTAGGCAATACAGTGGTCTGTGTGTTCCTTGTTCTGCGTCCATTACCTCAGTCTCTTTGCCACCCATACTTGTGTATGCAATCTGAAAAACTTAAATTGGGTAAGAACAGGTCCTGGGTAAGAATACATGAAAGAAAGCTTAGGGTAATGGATAAGGTTGCAGGAACTGAATAAAAAGCAGAAGTAGGCAGCAAGGAGTGTGTGTTGCAGTAGGTTTTAGGGGGCAGAAGTGGAATATGGGAAGAAATGTTAAGGGATATGGTTGCTGTACTTGTCTTCAGCAGGGAGAACTCAGTGAAGCATCACATCAGGGCATGAGCTGAAGGCCTCTCTGCTTTTGGTGGAGAAACTTATTAGCAGTAATTAACATATATACCAAGTTGCAGATGTTTAGTTCAGTCACTATAAGAGATTTTTGCAAAGCCTGTATGTCTTTGAGTTATAAATGTTGATAAATTGCCACCTGATTTTTTCCATCATCTTTTAAATTTGTGAGTAGGTTGTCACATTACAAATGAGACTGTGAAAATCTAATTTATCCAACAAATTAAAGGGGGCCTGACCTGCCAGTGTTTTGTATCAGAGATTCCCTACTTGTCCCAGATGACTTACCTAGCCCATGTTTATGAATCTTCAGGTTTAGATCTTTTTCTCTCATTTTTCTATCCCATCATGTGGTTTGACTATAAGATCAAGTCAGTATTTTCAGCAGAAGTGAGATCTTAATCCTTGGAAATTAACAATGGCCATCATTGCACAGTGATACCACCAGTCCCCATAAGTACTGTCCCTCACATTCCCTGTGTGAGACTGCACACTGAATGAGTAGGCAGCCTTCCTTCTTCTGGTAAGGATAGTTTGGTGGGGCCCTTTGTGATACATAGTACAATCTTTCCACGTCATGGGACTTTTTCCCTCAAGTTATAGAGTGCTAACACTCAGAAATGGGGAAATCAAAAGAGTCTGCATCTAACTTTATTTCTTTCTGGCTTGTGTTTGGTAATGCCTTTAATTACATAGCACCATACTGTTTTTCATTTATTTAATTTATTTTCTCACACTAATTGCATGACAGAAGTTATGAATTGGATATGTCCCCTCCCAGACATTGTGCAGTGTTCTGCTACCTCAGCATCTTACGCATAAGTGACAGATGTTGTACATACTGTACCTCTACAGCTCTACAAATACTCTCATGTATTCAACATAGTATGTAATACCAGAGTAAAGTCATATCAGTGAAGTATTTGTACAAGGATTATATGCGAATATTGCCTAGGTAATTCTTCCATGTCTACTTTCTTAATCTGAGCACTTAAGATTCTTCTTTGCTTGGTATAGCTTTTCACTGGATAACACTTCAGCAGCAAATTTGCAATTAGTTGTTCATGAAGGAATCAGAATAAACTGGCTTATCCACGTATGTGTGATTTGAATTGAATTTCAATATATATCAAAGTTCTGGCAAACTGAAGTTGCAAAATATGCTCATTTGTAGCATCTAAACAGGAAAATACTTTTACACATATAACATGTATGACAGACAACATCCACAAAATCTGACTCGTGGAGACCCAGGGTGGGCAAGAAGGGTTTTAATGTAACCTTCCCATCATATAACGTTCATGTAGGTCACCCACATTAGTGTTAAATAAATTTCTTTTTTACAGATAACCGTGTAATTATTAGTATGAAAAAAATATGGGGTTTGTCTGTTCTTCTTTGAAGAAACAATGAAGGAGACAAAATGTTAAAAGACAGCAGTAATGCAGTATTATGATTGCCCACGTCAAATGAAGGAAAATACTGCAGAAGCTCCTAGAGCCATTGAGGAAATTATGTAAATAGAACTGCAACCAGAAAATGTCCTAAAAAATCAGCCAGTCCAGCCCTCAGCTCTGAGAGGATCAGCTTGCCTAGATCATCCCTGGAAGCAGTACAACCTGTTTTTTGATTTAACTTTTAGTCAAAGATAGATCACAATACCCTGAGGTAACCTTTTCTGATTTTGTACACTTAGTGGTTAGAAATGTTTTTCCACCAACCTTAGATAACTGTGGGAAATAATTGCTCATATTTATAGAATGAAAGCCTTATCCTGTCCCCTTTTTTCTCCATGAGCAGCCTTCTATATGAACTGACATTTCTTCACTCTTTCTCTAATGTTTAAAAAATGTGGGCAGTAGTTCTTATTCTCTTCTGAACTTCCTCCAACTTCTCTACGTGTTTTTATGCATTTAGCCCAAAATGGAAAACAGAATCCAGCTGAGACCTCAACGGTGCTGAGCAGAATGTATCACCAATGACATCCATATGAATAAATAGAGCATAAAAATTCACAGTTTTGAATATGATGCTGTTGACTCCGATTTATTGTAACTCAACACCTCTTGATGTTGTCAGCATCATTTTTAATTCCCATTCTGTTCCCATTGTGCTTTTGAATTTCAAACTTGTAATATATCCAGCCTCCTTTCTTCAGTGAGTCCCTTCCCTGTGATTCCCCTTGGCATCTCTAACCTGCAGTTTTCTTGCCAGTAGAGTCTTTCTTTTTAAAGAGTGATTTTAAAAGAGTGATTTCTTTTTATATCCAGTCTGCTGATAGTTACATAAATTCAACATTCTAAATCTAAGAGTTTGCCTACCCCTTCTTATGTAAATGTTATGTCTTAATCTTTCATGTAGCAGATGAAATTGAAATAATTAGGATTTTTCAACTCTGTAACTTACATAGTGAGTGAAAAAAATAAGAAATTTATGAGTAGACTAACAATACAAAAACTAGCAGTGGAGACAAAAATTAAAAATATTTCTGCATGATGAATATACAACCTTTCAAGCAACTTGATTTTTTGCAGGTTAATGGCTTAATTTTGTTTCAGATTAAAATCTAGTTTTAACGTGATTTAATGATTGATTATGGAGTCTCTCTGAAAAGTCTTGCTGCTGTACAGCTTTAAATGTCCAGAGTAACTTTGGGATCTAGAATAAATGTCCCGTTTCCTTAATTATTTGTGTACTTCCTTTAAGTCCTTTATAGCAGGAAAGAATGATTTTTTGCCCTTTGTTCAAGTTTCTTTTTTTTTCAGTCAGTTATTTTTCAGTGTTGTGTTGCAGTGTTCCGTTTTTCTTATTGCTTATATTTTGTTTCACAGAAATGAACATCAGAACATACACCCAGAAAATCAAGAGCTAGTGCGAGCTCTTCGTCAGCAGCTTCAAACTGAGCAGGTGCTGTGCTAAGTGTTGGCATCGTTCAACTATCTGGTTTGGGGTAGCATAGACTTCTCTGAGGTTCTGGAAGAAGCTGGTCTTGAAAGTTACAGAAGCGTACTTACTGTACAGAAGCATCCTTGAAATTTATCAAGTAATGAGATAACATAGGCTTGTTTTTTTATCGATAAGTTAAGTAATTAAAATTAAATACTTGGCTGGTTCTTTTTCAAACAAGTTTTTGCCACAAGGTGGAGTATGCTAGATTATGTTGTGTGCTTCCCGCAATGTTCCTGGGAACTTAGTGGTAAAGGAAAGGAAATCTGGAGTACAGCTTGCTGCCACAGGACAGGGGTTAGATGTTTAGGCTGATAAACTGCATGTAGCAGAACAATGGCACAGCAGCAAGAGCCAGGCAACAAAGATTGACAGAGAACTTTTTACCAAACCCTTTAGTGACAGGACAAGGGGCAATGGTTTTAAACTGAAAGAGGATAGGTTTAGATGGGACATAAGGAAGAAATTTTTTACAGTGAGGGTGGTGAGACGCTGGAACAGGTTGCCTAGAGAAGGTGTGGATGCCCCATCCCTGGAAGTGTTCAAGGCCAGGTTGGATGGGCCTTTGAACAACCTGGTCTAGTGACAGATGTGCGTGCCTGGGGGACACTCCGGCAGTGGAGTTGGACTACATGATCTTTAAAGGTCCTTCCAACCCAAACCACTCTACGGTTCTATGACTGCATCCCGTTCTGACATGTAGAGGGGAGGACGGGAGAGCCTAGGCCAGGTTACTGGAAATTGCTGAGTCCCAGCCCTAAAGTGAAAAGCCGTACTTTTGGAGAGTATTGAGGAGAGTCTTTCATGATAATACTTCTTGAAATAATGACAGATTTTTAACTACAGTGCATATTTATGTGAAAGACAAATATGGCAAAATGGGGAGAAAAACCATTTCATGGCAATGACATACACAGGCTGATGTCTACGCTTGGGAACGCTAAATACTGCAGCTGGTAGGCAATGCAGTTCAGTTACCTGGCTCTGGACAGAGCTGCATAGGATAATGAAGTAACAGTCTAGATCTGAGTTGTTATTCATGCTTCAGCATGTCTAACCTAACTTAATGTGAAGGACCAACGAGCTTCATTCTTTGTGGTCTTTAACTGGATTGAAGCACATACTTATATAACAGGTGAAGGGAAAATAATGGGCTTGTCACGAGAAGAACTTGTGTAGTGAATCAGTTTTTTCATTTAAGTATGCTTTATTTTTGAATTTAAATATATTTCTCTTTCATTTCACATAGTTCTGCATTTGACTGCTTGACTTCTAGTAAATGAATGCTGGATTTGTTATTATTTTTTTAAACTCAGTAGACTTACATAAAAATAGTATCTCTAACACTTTGCATTTGTCTTCTGTTCTAGCAGGATGCTTCTGCTGGTGATAGACATCGCTTCTATACAGATATGTCTTGTCCAGTCTGTTTGCAACAGGCTACATTTCCTGTAGAAACAAACTGTGGACACCTCTTCTGTGGTAAGCAAGAAAAACCCCAAGCCCCAACAATAAAACCAGAACAGAAATACAAAGATAAAACCAGAACAGAAATACAAAGTTTTGGCACTAGTACAGTCACCCTAATGCAAAGCTTTGTTTGTTTTTAACTGCTTATCTTCTATTCTGCATTAGAAATATTTTTAACATAAATTGTTCAGAAAATACATTTGTGAATAAACAGTCACTCTGAGAGTGTGCTACATTTTTTTTCTATGCTATCAGGATTGAAACTGCGGTTAATTTAAAAATGTCAAGGACAGAGGGTATAATTTATTTCCAGTTAGTAAAATACTGAAGAGGCTGAAAAACACTTGGAAATGTACCACTTAAAAAAATTGGTTTAGAAAGAGTGAAAAATTCTGCTTGGTATTACCTTTATCTCAGAGTGTGTTTTTTTTTTTTCTTGGAAGTCCTGAAGAATTGAGACTAAGTTCACAATGCTTTAAGTGTTTGCCTTTTTCTTTGAGGCCCAGCTATTCAAATTTACATATAAACACCCTACGTAGCATTTTGCTTCCTCTCCTTCAGGTTCCCAGTAGGATTCTTTCACTGCATTCTTCTAGTTTTATGGAGTATATAGTGCATACTATGCCTAGTCGTTTAAAAGAAAAAATTTACAAATTTGGAAAACAGTTAAAGTCCTCAGATTTTTATATAATCCTTCACCTGTTGAAACTCTGATAATAAAGCCAGGTTTTTAGGATAAATTTTACATTTTACATTTTTGTGACTTCTAAATTTTAAACTGGTAAAATTTTAGTTATTTGTTTCTTCAGTTAATGATTAAGAAGTTTTCTGTCTTTTCAGGAAATAATACCTTAAAATTAATGATGCAGTTGAACCTATTCAGGATTTTTCTCATGAATAGCATTGAATTTGAACACATTGGTTCTTGGTATCTTCAGTGAATGTTGTATACAAAATTATACTAGAAAAGATAGGTTTAACCTAACTGCTTATGCACTTCTGTTGTTTTCCTTGGTGTGTAACATATTATTTCACGCAATGGGTGTTTCAACTCAGAAGTTTAAATGTCTGTAACTTACCTTCATCAGGTTCCTGCATTGTTGCCTACTGGAGGTATGGCTCATGGCTTGGTGCCATCCGTTGTCCAATCTGCAGACAAACGGTAATATTTTAAGTAAACATGGACCTGGTAGTTTGACTATCTAGTATAGCTTATCAAAAAAGCATTTATATGTGAACTGCAGTAGTGAGACTGACAGAAGAAGAAGTCTGAGGAGCTGAAAGAATATGGACATGTGAGATGTAGTTGGTGAACATTAAGTTTTTTTGAACTTTTTGCTTTGCCAAATGGCTCAAAAAATACAGATTGTTCCTGCAACTCGAATTTAAGTGAACAGCACTGATAACTCAGCCATTTTTCCTGTAAAGGAGTATATGAAAACAGAAAATCATAAGATCTTAACTGTGATTCTTCCATACTTTCTGTTTGGGATATTATATAACTTCTTCACCAGAACTTGCATCTGAAAGACCTGGCTGTTGTTCAAGACTGTCAGTAGGCAGTATACTACTGGTTTCTGAGAAGTACCTTCTCCCTTCCTTCTCTCCCTGCCAAAAAAACCTATCCATGTCAATTTCTTGTTTTGTCCTTATTTTTAGTTTGTATGTAATATTAATTTGAGCTTTGTAGAGCAAGCATTAACTTACTTCCTATGCAACTTACTTACATTGTCAGTTGTATGTCCCTGCAACTCATTAATACTTAGGATCTCTGAGTCTTATAGTGTAAGTTTTAACAAAAGTACACCTTTATTTTAACAGTGCACAAACTACAGAGCTAGTAACTTCTGATGAATTATATAACATGCTTGACGCCCTGGCCCATACATTATATCCTGCTTTGATTGTGTGTATCAGCAGGACAAATGACTGTAAGAAGGCAGAGGAACGAAAGCAAAATAGGGTATGAACAGAGGAAGAATGAATAGGTTTAGAGTGTAGCCAGCGAGGAGAGAGACACAAAAAAATAAAGGCGAGGAAGATGAAAAAGGGGAAAATAAGTGATTATTTTAGTGTCTCTTCTTACATAGTTGTTCTTCTACCTTCCTCCAAGTAACAGGTAAAGTGGGTGATACTGCTTGCACAGTTATGCATTCATTCTCACCCTGTGAAGTAAGAAAAGTGAGGTCTGATTTATAAATGAGGAATGGAAGTATGTACACGTGAACAACGTGAGTCATACAGAAGGTTTGTGGCAGGGCTAAGAGTTGAATGTATATCTGCTTGTGCTGTCATTTGCTAAATGTGACTGCTGCACAGATACAAGATATATATTTAGTGGCCTGGTACAGCAGGAGCTTTTGAAGATTGTAATAATTTAAAGTGCTATGCATTTTCTGTTTCCTATGATAATCTGCATTTTATACCTGAATATGGCTTCCAAATACAAGTCTTAAGTTTTCAGAAACACCTATACAGAAAGATAACATAAGATATATGTGAATATGTCCTTTCATATTTTTCTATGTTTGCATGAAAGTTAACCCAAGAACATAGCAGAATTCTCTGTGCTTACAAAAGAGCTGAAGGTTAATATCTTTTTCTGTTAACTTATTATTCTGTATGATTGTCCTCGGTCTTGGTGTGAACGTCCGTATGGAAAAGTATGAGTTTTGCTGCTTGTTTGCTGAAATGCGAGGCCATTCTAAAGATGGAAGAAGAATAGCCTGATTGGTTGCTTTATTTGATTTTCAGTTTAAGAAACAAAACTAGATTAATTTGGTAAATTAACTTTATTCTCAATATCATCTGTCCCACTGCTGAAACATAAACCATTTAGGTATTTAGAAAAATTTCCTGTAAGCCTCTCTTAGAAGGAGGAATCTTATGCTTGTTTTTAATAATCTTTTAAAAAATTAATATTCTGTAAAGAGTTGTAAGCAATGAATTTGTTAAAACTTAGCAGCAGTATCCATGTTAGTAGTTTTTGTTTTATTTTGTTACTAAATATTCAACTAAAACAAAGTGTGTTCTAGGTAGTTAACTGAAGATTACTGTTTTCATTTATAGTTCACAATATCTGCATTTAAAAGACAGTTGCACATGTAACAAAATCTCCCTGCTGTGCCTAGGTAACATTGTTTTTACCACTCTTTGGTGAAGACCAGCAGGATGCAACCCAAGTATTTCAAGATATTAATGATTACAATCGGAGATTCTCAGGACAGCCCAGATCTGTAAGTTTTGGGTAAATTTCGGTGAAAGTCATTGATTTGAGGGGAGATTAACAGCATTTTTTATGATTTTTTTTTCCTTCTTTTTTTTTTCTTTTCCCCTGGGATATGAATTTTCTCTTCACGATGCTTAGGGACTGTGCAAGTTTTCCTTAGGAAATTCATGTTTATATAGTTACAGCAAACCCACAACCTTGAAAATATTTATTCGTAATTTGTGGAAATGTATGGAAACTTGCATTTTTGTTGTGAGTGAGAACTGCTAATATGCCTCGAGTTCCCTATTCATGTGTTAAGTGCTTTTTTAATTATGACTTGTTAAATTGAAAGGATTAATAGTTAGTCAGTAAAAATACTTAATGAAATACATGACATGCAAGGAAGAATATTTTCTTGATGGATCTCTTTGCATCGATTAGAAGAATCTGAAATTCTACTCTGTGCCTTTCTTCCTCAGATTTCAAGCTATATGCTGTCTTGATTTTTTTATTTTCCTCCTAGATTATATTACAGTCTTTATTCTGCTCTCTGAGTGAAGAAAACAGGATTTTTTTGATAAATAGCTAAGAGAGATGGTTGAAGTTCTGCGAACTTTAGAAAGTCAGCCTTGTGAGCCTGTCTTCTATGTGCATGTTCTGAGTCGCAAGGTGAAATGCATGCACATGCATACTAGTAACTTCCCTGCTTGTCTTCATCTGTTCATTGGATTTGGATATAATAACAAAACATTAGCAAGAAAAAATTACAGTCCAAACAGGCAAAAGAGGTGGGAGATGGGAATTTTTTTTTTTCATGTCCTAAACCACAAAACAGTTATGCTTTTGATCCAGAACAGACTGAAACTACCTTTCAGGCTCCGTTGGACCTCTTTGTGGGCTCTGTGTCTAGTCCCCAGTAACCTGTCTGAGGCCATGCTGGAAGTCTGCATTAAAGCCCTAATCAGACTAGATAAATTGTCTTTGATTTATACATGGTGTATTGCCTTAACCACATACAAAATTCCTTTCTAGAGAACTTTTTCAGCCTTGGCAATAACTCATTTTAATGTCATGGCTCTGTGTAGAAACTGTGTACAGTAGAAAAGGAACCAGTATAAAAAAAAATTTCAAAGTTCACCCCTCCCTACGCCTCACAACAAAAACCTGAATATTTTCTACTGAGCAGTCCCTCACTAAGATGACAGAATCATAGTAGAAAAACAGAAGGGAGCCAGGGATGGATTCATTTAAAGGTTCTTTAGTTTACTTTGAAGCTTGATCCATCCTTTGGAAACTTATGTGAATCACTGGTTATATGCCGGGGGAGGGAGTGTTTTGTTTCTGAAGAACTGCAACCTATTCTACTTTACCTATTGTGGTTTTCTCGCAACCCTAATTGTCTTCCATTCTGATCGATATTTCACTCAAGTTAACCTGTTTGCTGTTTCTCCCTTTCTCAGTCATTTGTTTTACTCTAGCAGTCACTGCTTTTCCTTCTTAACAGTTGCCAATGTATTTTGTAGTGAGTTAAATGTATGTTTTACGGTATAGAATAACACAGTTTGACTGTTTCTTGAAAACATGTATATTCTAAATCTGACTTTTTACCCAGCAAAACTAAATCCAGGAAGTCTTGTCTCACTGTTTTTTGTTTTAATTCTTATAAACTAACAGATTCCAAAGCTGTAACGTAGTAATAGAAACTTCAGACTGAAAAAAGACCCATTTAGCATGGGCCCGTTGCTATAGCAAAATACTAACTTTTGGTTTCTTTCTTCATAGATTATGGAAAGAATTATGGATCTGCCTACTTTATTGCGGCATGCTTTCAGGGAGATGTTTTCTGTTGGGGGCCTCTTCTGGATGTTTCGCATCAGAATATTCCTCTGCTTGCTTGGAGCCTTGCTCTACCTGGCTTCACCTCTGGATTTTCTTCCCGAAGCCCTCTTTGGAATTCTGGGGTTCTTGGATGATTTCTTTGTCATTTTTCTTCTGCTGATATATATCTCTATCATGTACCGAGAAGTGGTAACACAGCGGCTGAATAGATGAAATGGATGAAAAGGACCCAAATGCAGAGGTGGTTGTGGAATGTTTTAAAAAGAGAACTATAACATAAGTATGATATAGCAAGGCACCTGTGTACAGTTTCGGTAGTTACCAACTTCATAGCTGGTCGTCTTATACAAATATGAAGGGTTAGTATGTGGTGATGCTTCACTGGAATCTTTAATTTGTGTATTACATATGCTTCATAAGGATAAGGCTAGTTTTATAATGTAATAAACTACCTTCATCTACTTCCACCTGATGAACAACTGTATGTAATCAAAGCAGAAAACACCTTTTTTGGTGTGTGGTTTGTGAAAAAGGAGTTCTAGTAAAGGACTTGTAACAAAAAATCCGTTTGGGTAATCTAGACATGTATAAGGAAATTCAGAAATTCTTCACAGTACAGTTATAATGGCTAAATTGTTTAATGTCTCCCTATTGTGGGCTAGAGTTTTTTAAAATAAAAGTAGCTTTGTGTGTCTCTGTGGAAGAAGAAGCCCAAGGACCACATTACAATTATCACCCTGCAGTTTGCTGTTGTCCACATGCTTCACAAAAACAAGAACACTTCAGTATTGGTTGAACTGCACTATGTACGGTTGCATGCAATTCGTACAATTTTATTTTTATATTTGGGAATATACACACAGTATCTGATCTAGATAGAGAAAGCAATATTATGCACGCCAGACTGGTTAGTGCTCTATTTTTAAACAGGAGCATGGTTTTTCTCGTCAGGCTTGTTTGTTTGGTAGGTATGTGTCTTGGAAGTGGGGGTTTTATGCTGCTTTGAGTCAATGCAATGTATCTGAACTGAGAGTTTGCATTCCTTCAGTTGCATTAAAGCATTTAGCCGATGGAGAGAACCCTCAAATTTTAGATAATGTTGAAGAAAAGAAGTCAGAACCGGATGTTTACGCTACAGACCTTTACCTGAAGGTACATTCTGCAATACAAGTATTAAACAACTTAGATATTGGGGTGTTTGATTTTCAGCTGGGGTTTTCTTTCTTCAACTTTGGTTGGTTGATTTGTATGTGGGTAGAGGGGGTTCTGAATTACCTTGAAAAAGATCTGTGATAAGGGACCACAAAAAAATAATGGAAATGTTTTCAAAAATACCAGGGTATTAATTATCCTTCAAGTTGATTTTTTTTTTAATGTTGAATTTGAATATAAGCTGTCATAGCTACAAAAGTCATTTGAAAATATTTTCATTTTAAGAAATGAATGTCTCCAGAAAGGCCAAGGATATTCTAGATCTATGTACTTTTTGGCTTGAGGAATGATAATTGCCATTTCATTTTAGCTTCCTGAGTACTTGAAAGACAGTGATTAGACAGGTGATTCTTTGCATGTTTACATATATGGGATGAGACTTACAGTGAAAGGGACCTTTTCACAACTTCTGTGTTTTGCCCATGCAGACGTCTTTCGACAGCTTCTAGCACCTAGGCATGTGCAGGAAGATGGTAGAGCTGGCACCTGACGTGTCAGTCTTTGGGGTTGGAGATTGTCCTTCAGTGTCAGTGTTTTACATGACATTAATTTAAAAGTAAATTCACTGATTCTTCATTTGAAATGAAAAGCCAAAGAGATTTTACAAATGAACTGGAAAGCTAAATTTTTCCTTGTTGCTGTTTGCTAGAGATGGGAAAGAGGAGAAACAGGAAGTGAAACAAGGGTGGGAGGAGGAGGGCAAGACAGAAAATGACATTTTTGGAAGCAAGTGCGATTGTTTCTGGCAAACTAACTGTTCTTGAGCATCTTAGTTGAGCTTTTCCCTTTGAGTTGGCATCGCTAATGTATGGTGATGGTTTAGTGGCTACCTCAGTTAAAAGTCATTAAGGTATTACTGAGTAAGCGTGGGATATTCATAAACTGATAGGTACATTTACAAAGCAAGATAGTAGTTTAGCATCTTAGGTAAGACAGGATTTTGCAGTTTTGCTGTAAGCATTGTTTTGGTTTTGGTTTGGTTCCCGTCCCCCCCCAAGAGCAAACTCCAAAAAAGTATTTTTAATTGAGTAAATTTATCACCCCCTTTTCTCCTGGAGTTTAACTTGTGGGTCTGCTTAGAGAAGAGTGTGAACTGCTGTTGTAGAACAACTGGAGTCTGTTCATAGAATCTGTTGGCCTAGTGCCTCCTCCATAAGTTTAGCCTACGATTGTGTTTATTTTCCCATGACTCTTGAAATCCAGAGTGGATATAGATGTACATGAAGCTGCTTACTGATTTGTTTTCATTGAGCTCCCCAATTCCACATGCTGCTGTGAAGTTCATGCAGAAATATCCATCCAAGGGGTTTGCTCCTGAAGAACAGACCTTCCTATGTACCTGAGGTCATGTACAAGCCACATCTGAGTAGCTATATAAAGTTTACCCATGTTCTGTTTCTTCCTTCACTACATTTCTGCTAGCCAGAAAGGTTTCGCTCAGAGGCTTCTGCTTACTTTTGAATATTGAGTAACGTTGTAAGCTTAAATTCAACACATTAAATGCTTGACAGAATTAGGACCATCCTTTCTTTTCACCAATATGCGTGCTTGCTTGTGGAGGCTTTTTTTTGGTCCTGCAAGCCACTGACGAACAGTATTATGACTTGCTCAGGCCTTTTTGTGAACAGCTGTAATGTGAAGATGCCTCTGTCCTGCAGCGTCTGGCTGCTGCTCCTTTACACAAACCTGAACTAGCTGTAAGTTAGCTATCTTGGGTACTTAGCTTGAGCTTAACTTAAGCTCTAGAGCTCCCAAGAAGCTGGGGATTAATACATGAGCATGTAGTATTCCTGAACTGTGTGCTGCCGAGTCGTTCTGGCAGCAACGTTAAAGGTAAGTGCTAGAGCTGAGCACTGGCTTCAGAATGTGAAGGAAATAGGTGATGCTGTGTGGAGAGTGACTACAAACGTCGCTGCGGTTTCGTATCCTGGAATGGGGCAGCCATGTCACCAAGGGGGGGAAAGAAAAAGAAGGAAAACTTTAGCAGCAAAGAAGAGATACAGGGGAAAAAAATACAGTTCTTAAAAGATTCTTACGGCGTCACCAAAAACTGTGTGAAATATTTGATTGTTCCAGCAATATTAACAAAGGGGAAAACTAAAGTTATACTTAATAGCTCTTACAGAATAACTTGTAGCATCTTGAGGCCTAATGATCATCCTTACGACAAGTGCTGTATAGAGCGATCTGTTTCTGTGTTGTTTGTGTCCCACACCATTGATGTCTATGAGGATGAGGCAGAACGGTGTGATTTGGGGATACAGTTTTGCCATAGGTTTCATAGAACTGTAGCAGTGACCTGTGTGTTACACTAGATTTTTAAGACAAAAGGATTTAAACCTACTTGTTGTTACTTTTAATGATAATAAATTGCTATTAAAGTAAGATATTCTCTTGATCTATTTTATTGACTTTCTGAGTGGGAAATGTTTTTATTCCCCCGTTTCCCCCTTCCCTGAGCTAAAGTTGGCAGTAGCTCTTCTGCAGTCTTGCTCGATTCTTACCTTGGTGTCTGTGGACAGGGCGTTCGGAGATAGCTCGGTCGTTTTCATCTTTATTATTGCCATTATAAGGATTACAAAATTTCTAAGATCTTGGTCCCAGAAGTATATTGTACATTAGATGTCTTTTCCCTGAGCAGTCCGACCAGTACCTTCAGATCCATGGGCACTAAGCTTTCAGGATGATAAACCAGTACAGGTGATTAATTAGCACCTTCACATATCAATCCTCCAAGCAAACAAAAGCATAACGCAGGTGTATGAGAATCCAGTTAGTGGCGTAAATTGAAGGAAACAGGAAATAGTCTCCGTAGGTTTACAGGAAGGTTGGGGTAGGGCAGGGAAGAACTGGATGTGACTGGCCTGTGCTGCAATCCTGTGCTTTTCCCGATTCATACCGTGAAAGGCTCCTGGGCATCGGGAAGACATGGTCCGTTCTGCTAAGAAATGTCCAACAAGTCTTAGCTGAGAAGTCCAGGGCCAAGTTGGGCCAAGTCTTCCAGGCTCGGAGGTGAACTTTGTCGCCTGCTTTGGTACAGGGTTCCAGTGTTTATGGAAAAACGTAAATACGTATTTGGTAAGCTATTAAATCAGGTTGAAAGTTCGATGGGTACACACTTGTCCTTCCATCTGATGCCTCTCTGCTTGCTGTGGGAAGCTCAGCTAAACACTCGAGAGTTCCTCCCCCAAGGCTGCCAGAGTAGATGGCTGTTTTAGAAGGTCTTGTTGTACAGTTGCAGTTGTAGGTAGGTTTTCTGCATCCAACTGCCAACCGAACGGGCAACTGCCCATTAGTCACCAATACTGGAAGCCACGTGGGCATTTGTTCCAAGGAGACATAGCAGTAAGTCTCATTATCCCTGTTTCTTTGAGATGTAGCATCCTAGTGGGTTGCCTTCTTCCCTGTTGTGGGCACTGGGGTTTTGACCTGGGGAAGAAGCTGCTAAATTTCATTACATCTATGATTCCCTCAGCTCAGGGACCTGCAGACGTTTAGGGCAGAGATAGGGCGCAGGTGCTGTTCCCATGTGGGCAGCACATCATTAGACACCATGGTAAGTAGAAGCGCTTTCTGTAAACCAGGGATTTTGTTCATTCAGGGAGTGAGAAGTCAATCCAAGAAATAAAATAAATAATTAATACTGAAAAATGAGGCAAGCAGGAGGTTAGAGTTGAGTTTCCTATACTACGGCTTGGGTTCAGGCTCTTTGTATGCCCCTGCTCTGTATCACATTGCCTTATGTAAGATGTTTGTCACTTCAGCATCCACGTAAAAGTCTATCGTAGATATATTTCATTCGTGCCTAGGTAATCTCAGATCTTGCCATGGGTACTTCTACTGCAACTTTCGTGGCAAGTGTTAGGGCTGCTCCATTGAGTGGATTAAATCAAAGGGTGTGGCGGGGTGGGGGGGAACAAAAAGGATCCTGTTAAAGAAAATTCCTAATTCTGTGATCTACTCTTACTGGTACTGCATGGCCCTGTATGAGGGCATCTAAATATCTTGTTTCTCTTCATTTATGCTAATACTAGGTAAAAGGCACAAGAATGACGAAAACTCTAGAAAATACATCCAGGAGGAAAGGTTGGAAAGACTGGTATTTTGCCTATAGGGTAGACTGAGAAAGACATAAGTCTTTAAATATGTTAAAAGGGGATGCTATTCTCTGGAGGAAGTAGCAGTGAGCTTGAATTGCAGCGAATGAGACTTAGATTAGAAGAAGCTTGCCAAAGTGAATCGGGAGAGGATATTGTCAGGGCATTGGTGGAACCTCTGCTGGGAGGCTTCTGAAGGCAGGGGAACATCTGTGGGGACTGGTTTCTGCACAGCTAGTCCTGCCTGGGGAAGGGGCAGATGAATGAAAAGGTGGCTGCTTTCAAGGCAGCTCATCTGGGCCTTAATAGACATGGGACCAGAGAAGTCCTGATCTGATCAAGTCTGTCTTGCTGCTGGTGTTTCTGACACACGTTACCTGTATGCATCAGCCGGCAGACCTGACCAGCTTACCTTTCCCCAGGAGTTTTGCTAAATAGCAGTGCTTAAAATCCCTGGGGTAACGATATGGCTCCACCTTATTTCGGGACACCTTAATGATTATTTGCAATAATATTCCATTTTATTACAAAAACTCATTGTTTGTTCCATATTTTCCAAGAAGAGGATTACTTCTCATGATTAACAGATGCTTAATTGGTGGGAGGGAAGGAGAGGGGAAAGGAACATAATTTATAATATTGAGTCAATTGCTCATTTCTGGCAGGTAACTGATGGGGAACCATGGGTGTATCAGGTGTTACTAATAGATTGGCTAGAATATGTTGCATGGAAAGCTGTTCAGCTTCACGCTAGCATATGTTGTGCTTCACAGTCGAGAATTGTTTTCTCCCCTCTCCCCCTTTCTGCCTTCATTCTAGAAACTTATTTCTTCTTTTACCAAGATGGGGAGGCAGCAGAACCTGAAAATAATCCATGCCACACTTTATACAGGACAGTGCAAGCACTCCTGTGTAAATCACCTTTTTCAGGGAGAGGCCTCCCATCATCCCACGGGACGTGACCTTACTCTCCAAAGCAGAAGGTCACGCTTTTGTCTTTCTTGCCTTCTACACCGTCTGGATCTCAGGGGTTGGTGTTGCCTGATGCTGTTGCCTTTGTGTCTGAGGAGGGTCACGGTATTCAATTTAATGAAGGTTGACTCAAAATAACTAGTATAATATGCCTCATCAGTGAGCTGGTTTATGACAGTTTATGGTTTATGTTTTCATCCCATCTAGGGTCTTCAGCATCCAACCAACCAACCTGAAACTGCTCTAGTCTCATTTCTCTTTTCCTTGCAGATTTTTGTAGTTTTGTTCATTCCCCTCCCACTTTCTTATTGTGGTGTGTAAGGACCACAGTAAAGATCACAAAGCAGATTTTGATGAATCACTTGCTCATGTACCACAGCAGTTCACACCTTACCCCTGAATATCCCTTCCAGCTAACCCCTTAACTCTCTTGCATCTCATAGGCCATGCATCAGGAAGGAAGGTAGAAATGTGGTTAAATGGTTAAATTCCTCATGTACCAACCTGAAGAAGGCAGTTCAGTACAGCTCTGTGGTTCTGCCTCCTCCCCATGCAAGGAGCTGGGCACCCTGCTCTGCTGTCTTTCTCCAAGAAGGATGAAGGACCTGAAGTCCAGCAACCTTTTGGCTTCTGGCTATAACCTCCCTCAGCAACGCCTCCTGGTTTGATAACTGCAAGTGGAGGATGAAGATCAGAAGCACGGCACCAAAGCAGATCTCCAGTAGGCAGGGCTGTATTTGCGCCTGGGAGGCTGGAGAAAAGCCCATGTACTAAGGAGCTATTGCATACAGTTTCAGCCACGTCTGGAGAGACTGGTTTTCTCTGTCGCTGAGGTTGTCAGGTGCAAGTCTTTTCTTGATGAAAACCAAGGCATTGCTTTGAAAATAATCTCTGTGGTGTTAC